AAGGTGGCAGCAAATCCTGACACTGGATCAGCAGAGATCTTGCTGAAATATGCTAACTCTGATTTCAGCAACACAACTAGGCTAATGTCTATTTTCCTTGGGCTACTTCCTACTCCTACCTGTTCACAGGACTTATTACTTACGGGCCCTCAGGCTATTCAGCAGCCAGCTGTTCTAGCAGCTCCTGTGGGTATTGCTCTAGACCAGGGGAGCCAACAGGATTTCTGGAGCCTGGGCAATGTGGGGAGCAACTCTGTGCACCCAGAGGGGGCAGGGCCTCAGATAGAAGGGGGAGAGCTGTGGCAGCCAACTCCAAGTGCCGCATGGACAGTACAGTGCCCCCCTCCTCCTGCCCTGCTGCCCCTCTGAGGTGGCCAGAGTACATGGCAAAATGTTTTGCAGTGCGCTACATGGCACTCCTGCTGCCATGCAACTATTGCTACCACAGTAGCAGCAGCAGTGGCCAGGACCCTTCGGCCCTTTAGAATCACTAGGCCCCAGAACAATTGCACACTTAACCCTCCCTCTCCCATCAGTGGGCTTGCTCCAGAGGCAGAGATTGGTTCAACTCAGTCCTTGCCTTTAGCAGTAGGAGCAAGGAGAGGGATGTGATTCCTTCCTTGACTTTCCCTCAACTGAGCTGTAGGCTAAATATCTCATACTTCCTGGTCTGCCCCGCTGCTCCTGGGGCAAAGAGCAGGCCTCAGCGGGCTCTACCTATCAGTGGGTGAGAGTGGTTCCTCCCACTGAGCATCAGAGGGAGACCACTCAGCTTCACTATAACTCACTATACTTTGCAGCAGCAAATGCTAAATGTATTATAATAGCAAAATCACAGATTGGACCCATTTCATTTCATTTACTATAATCCATACATTTGAGACAAGCACCAAAACCAGATTATTTAACCTAAATCAATTTCTGGAAATGAAGATAAAGAATAAGTATTGTGGATATCCATGTGAGTTTTCATCACAGGATGGCACTACTGTTTAAAACTCATTTACTTATATTTTAGTGATGATGGGTGAAGGTGTACTTAAGACAATTGACTGGAACTCAGGAGAACTGGGTTAAATTCCTGACTCTCCCAGAGATTATTTTGGCAAGTCAATCAATAGAATTGTGGATCGGTTACTCACATTGTGTTTATTTATATATTCTTCAGGGCAGGTGCCAATTTACACTCTGTGGGGACGTCTACACTAGCCCCCTAGATTGATCTAGGGAGGCTAATAAGGGTGACTGGAATTGCAAATCAAGCCCGGGATTTAAATATCTCGCGCTTGATTTGCATGTTCCCGGCTGGGCGCCATTTTAGAAATTGACTAGCCCGAAGTGACTGCCCGCGTCTACACGCAGCAGTGAAATGGGATTCCGATTTAAAGCCCTAACTCGAATTAGCTGGTATTCCTCCTGCAATGAGGTTTGCCAGCTAATTCAAATTAGGGGCTTTAAATTGAAAGTGTAGACTCGGGAAGTTACTCCAGGTTAGTCAATTTCTAAAATGGCGCCCAGCCGGGAACATGCAAATCAAGCGCGAGATATTTAAATCCCGGGCTTGCTTTGCAATTCCGGTTGTCCTCATTAGCCTCCCTCGATCGATCTAGGGGGGCTAGTGTAGACATATCCTGTGTTTGGAGAATCAGACCTATACGATACTGTAATAATACATGTAATAAGAAAAAAAAACAAAGATTGTTAATTATGCTCCCAAATTCAGTCTAGTTTCTTCTAATGGAAATTAGCAACAAAGAAAAAAAAATCTGTGGAATTTGAAAGAGTCACTCTGCTGAGTTAGCAAAGCTGGGGCCAAATACTGTGATATGATAAGCACCTTACAGACATAGACATAATGAAAAATATTCAGAAGCCAAGAACGAGCTGGAAAATATTAAGGCAGATAAACAGCTAGATCTTGACATTTACATCTGCATTAAGCAAAACTTAAAAAAATCCCAAAATAATCCTGTTCCTTTTTCATTTTTATGATTCTTCTTTGAGAGAGAATATTCTAGAAGCCCTGAACTACTGAGCTTAAAATGCTCATCATGCTGAATTTTCCTTGTTAGAACAATTTAATTAGAGAACATCTTATTCTGGAATCACTTGTAATCTACTAGGGGATGGGAATAAATGTAACTATATTATCTTAATTTTCAAAGAGCATGTATCCCTATTAATGCTAATTCCATTTATAAAATGCAAATAACTTCCTTTTTTTTACCCCGTGCATTTATGTTAATGTGCACAATTTCAATGAAGGGAGAAAGGCCTGCTTAAGCAGGTAATTTTAAAATGCAGCTAAAATAATTAGTTGTAAAAATAATCTATCATATTAACAAGTCCAGGAAATACCCCAATATTAAGGTATCTTTAACTATCTGCTTAGCCTAAAAATGTATATTATATACTAATACTTATCAATTATAAAATGGTTTTTCATCCATAGATCTCAAAACACTATATAAACTTGGCATGGGGTTATGAAGTAGTTTGTCATGGTTAGGTTGGGCCTGATCCAAAGTCCTTTTGAAATCATAAAAATCTGTCTATTGACTTCAAATTGTCATTGGACAAAGATTATAGTAAACTAGGAGAAGATCTAAGACTAAAACCCAGGTCCTAGGATAAACTAGAACTTTCATTTTGCAGTTGTTTGCTTTACAATTAAGCTACATATGAAACCTACATAATATTTCTATAAAAGATTGGCCCTATTGGTCAGACCAATGGTCCATCTAGAGTAGTGGTTACCAACCTGTTGTCCGTGGTTGCCTAGGGAGTCCATGAGGGCACTGCGGAAAGTTTTTAAAAGTAAGATGAGCCTGATCCTTACTTTTCTTTTCTTTTTCTTCTTCCCCTCTCACCTTCCTCTCCCTGGAGTGCGGAGGAGTGAGGCAGCAGCCATGTGTGCTGGGATGCAGCTTGCTTTTGATCCTGTCCTCCAGAAGCTAAGGCTGGTGTATGGGGGATGCACGGGATGCAAGCACTGTCCCATTACTCTCTTAGCATCTGGAGAAAAGGCTCAAAAGCAAGCTGTGTCCCAGCATGCAAGGCTCCTGTCCATCCCGCCTGCCCCCTCCCTTCCGCTCCTGAAGTTCCACCCTTGTCCCGTTCCATCCCAAAATTCCACCTTTGAGCAGCTGGTAGCTCCAAAGCTCCCTTTAGCCATGAGAGTCCCCTTGCTCCATGGACGGGCAGGGGATGGAGGGGACAGGAGCTAAAGAAGGAGAGTGGGCAAACAGCAGTCAATGGGAACTGAGAAGCGGGGCCGGCTTTAAGAAGCGCGGGGCCTGATTCTGGGAGTGGGACCCCACATGCGCCGTGCACCCGGGAGCCTGCGCATGCGCTGCGCGCCCGGGACGGCACTGCGCATGCATCGCATGCCCGGGGGGGAGCACTGCACATGCGTTGCGTGCCCAGGGAGGCACTGCCATGCGTCGCTCACCCGGAAGCAGGGCCCCCTTAGGGGCCCCATTCCGGGGAGTCGGCTGAATCGGCCAAAAGCCAGCCCTGCTGAGAAGCTCCATACCTTGCAGTCTTCACGTCCCTCAGCCGATGTTGCAGTTGACAAGCTGTGACTGTACTCTAGAGTCATCTTATAAATGGGAGATTTACTTTTTTACCATTTTTTTCTCTTTTTTGAATAAGTCACCCTACTCTAACAATTCAAAAGCTATTAGAGTGGTGGGAAGGGTTTAGTTGGGCTGATAGCAAAAATGGATCGGTGGCTCCAATAACATTTTATTCAATAAAAATATATGGCACCTCAAAGTTGCATTTCAATGTGGACATGCTGTATTATTTCTCAATACTACTATATTTGTTTAGCTATGACGGGTATGTGTGTGTTCATTTTAAACAAAATGTGGTTTGGAATGTAGATATGAATAAAGAAGCATGCTGTGGCTCACCACCCTAGGAACAGTCTAGAAAAGGCCAAGGAGTGGGGGGTGGGGGGGTGGGGTGAACTCAACATGTGGAGTGGAGAAGTACAAGCATGTGACAAACAAAGCCATGTATGGAAAGGTTGAATATGATTGGTTTAGAAGTTTGTGTTATATAACCTGATATATAACTGCCATGTGCTATAAAACAGCAAGGGGAGGGGCTCCTTGCTCGAGGGGCTCTGGCTAATTTTAGTACCAGGGCTCTCCCTTTGTGCACATTGAATAAAGTCTTGTTGAATTGAATTGAAGTATTGAAGACCCTTGATTCTGCCCAGCACCTGACTCTCTGGGAACCACAAAATCTCAACAGCTAACATGAACCATTATACATTTCAAATGATTATTAGCTTCTCTGCAATTACCTTGTCTTTCTTGAGGGCTTCCTTAAACTCTGATCAGCCAATGGCCCCACTGATTTTTTGGCAAGCTTGAGGCTTCTGATGTACTTAAACACGTTTTCTGTTAGTTTTCGTCTTATTTGTTAGTTTCTCTTCAATTCTTTTTTGGCTTGCCTAATTATACATTTACACTTGACTTGCTAGAGTTAATGCTGCTTTCTATTTTTCCCTGTAGGATTGGACTTACAGTTTTTAGCAGATGTCTTTTTGTCTCTCACCCTTTTACTGTTTATCCATGGTAGCATTGTTTTCTCCTCTTACTGTTTTTTTATTTTGGGTATACATTCAATTTATATCTCTATTGTGGTGTTTTTAAAAGTTTCTAAAATTATTTCACTCTTTCAACTATTCCTTTTAGTTTCCATTTAACGACGCTCCTTATCTTTGGGTAGCTGCCTGTTTGGATATTAAATGCTACTATGGCGAGGTTTCTTGGTATTATTTCCCCTACAAAGGTATTAAATTTAATTACGCTATGGTCACTATTATCAAGCAGTTAATCTACGTTCACCTTCTGGATCATGTTCTGTGCGCCACTTAGGACTAAATCAAGAATTGCCTCTCCTCTTGTGAGTTCTAGGATTAGCTGCTCCAAGAACACGTCTGCAAATTTAATTGCTTCATACCATCATGAGGTTCCAAATTAATATAAGGATAGTTGCAATCCCCCATTATTATTGGGTTTTCTTTTTGTTTGTAGTTTTGACCTCAGTTTCTTTAGTTATTTCACCATCACTTTCTGTCACTATCCTCATCAGCAGATGGTCAGCATTATAATCCTACTGCTATATTTTTATTTTTCAAGCATAGAACTCCTACCCATAGAGATTCTATGTGACGTTAGATTCATTTAAGATTTTCACTACATTAGATTTGGTTTTCTTTTACAGTGCGACTCCATTGTCAGCATTATTTACTCTGTCATATCCATATATTCTGTACCATACTACCATCTGAATCTCTGTAGTCTAATTTATTCTGAGTCTAAATCAAAAAAGCTTATTTTGAAATTTGGTGCTGTCTACACAGTGCCAAATTTCAAAATAAGGCACTATTCCAATAAATCCCTTAACTCTTGTGGAACGAGAGTCATAGAGATGCCAGAATAGCTATACTTCAAATTTCAAAATAAGGCACTATTCCAGTAAATCCCTTAACTCTTGTGGAACAAGAGTCATAGAGATGCCATAATAGCTATACTTCAAACCCCGCTGCCTGTGGAGAGAGCGACTCAGCCGGGACAAGATCCGAGGAAACAGCAGGACTGACGGGACTCCTGCGGAGCAACCCCGGACCCGGCCCCTCCCGCTAAGCCGGGGTATAGACACAGGGTCCACTGAACCCCCCTCTTCTGTCCTGCAGGAAGGGGGTGATTGCACCCAACTTATGGGGCATACGACCGGGAAACCCAGCCGGGGGCCCGGTTAGAGGACGAAGGGGTTCGCTGAGCCCCCCTGCCCTCCCCATAGGGGGTGATCGCACCCCACCACTCGTCCACACGAATATTCTCATTTAATACCACACTTTTATATTACATGATATTTTGATGAAATAGGAATTCCTTGGATTTTGAAAAATTGTGATTATAGGATTGATTAAAATAGATTTTGTTTTTATGAGGGTTACAAGTAAAATAAAGTAAAATGTTATGTATGTCTGTTTTGCTTTTTTTCAGTATTAAAATAATGTAGCCACTGTTTAATAAAATGTACAGTTAGCTAAAGTATTACAAATAATAAATTCTGTTTGTAATATTTTAGAATGAACTGATTTTCATGCTAACTTGGATCCCATTCACCTAGTATGGTGTCAACAGAAAAACTCTGACTTTCCAAGAAGAAAGAAATAAAGTAAGTCAAATGATAAAGATTGTAACTAAACAAACCTCTGTTAATTATTTATTATAGTGTATCTTAACTTCTTCAGTTTGTTAACTCCTTATTCAGCATAAAAATAATCATGAACTCATTACATTTTTTACTCTTGCTTTTATTATATATGAATTTAAGTCCTCCTGGTAGGGATTGTCCCCCATTTCCCTTAATTCCATCTTGGACCTATGGATGCTGTAGTACTTCAGGACAGAATCATAGAATACTAGGACTGTAAGGGACCTCGAGAGATCATCGAGTCCAGTCCCCTGCCCTCATGGCAGGACCAAATACTGTCTAGACCATCCCTGATAGACATTTATCTAACTTACTCTTAAATATCTCCAGAGATGGAGATTCCACAACCTCCCTGGCCAATTTATTCCAGTGTTTGACTACCCTGACAGTTACAAACTTTTTCCTAATGTCCCGCCTAAACCTCCCTTGCTGCAATTTAATCCCATTGCTTCTTGTTCTATCCTCAGAGGCCAAGATGAACAAGGTTTCTCCCTCCTCCTTATAATACCCTTTTAGATACCTGAAAACTGCTATCATGTCCCCCCCCCCCTCAATCTTCTCTTTTCTAAACTAAACAAACCCAGTTCTTTTAGCCAGGGGCAGATGACGGTTTTGCAGGGCCCCAGGCAGCATACTTCCGTGGGGACCCCCCTTTGCCATGCATATGCATATGCGCAGCGGCACCACGGCACATCCATGGGGCTTTCTGAAGCGCGGGGCCCGGGGCGGCCGCCCCGTTCGCCCTGCCGTATATCCGCCCCTGCTTTCAGCCTTCCTTCATAGGTCGTGTTCTCTAGACCTTTAATCGTTCTTGTTGATCTTCTCTGGACCTTCTCCAATTTTTCCACATTTTTCTTGAAATGCAGTGCCCAGAACTGGACACAATACTCCAACTGAAGCCTAACCAGCAGAGAGCAGAGTGAAAGAATGATTTCTTGTGTCTTGCTCAGAACACACCTGTTAATGCATCCCAGAATCATGTTCTAATTCTAGTTCTAGGGCCGAGTTCATGTCCCAGACTTGCAAGAAAACTCCTGCTTTTGACAACGCCTGTCTGTTACTCACAGTATAACTCTTGCTTACTTTGATTTAAGCACCAGACCCATGCTTTAGGCTCTTTCTTTCTCCTACAGATGCTACCATATTTACTTCTATTAAGACAAAACACACACATGTTGTCAGAAGGCTTGAGAATTTATTTTAAATATGTATATGATCCAAGTATAATAATTATTGATATAAGACTTCAGTACAGATTTAATGCTTCAAAAGAGGTAAAGAAAGTTTTAGACAAATTCCTGATTCCATTGTGTTATCTATAAACAAATGCCAACAGACAGCAAAGAGAGGCCTTCATATAACAGTCAGTCAAAGACAAACATTTATTTGCATGTGAAATATTGCAAGCACATGTTCAATCAATACAAGGTATTCCTCATGTAATTTCACCCAAAAATGTCTATTTCCAAGAAATTAACGAAAGAAAGATACAATAAAAGAAAAACTGAACTGCACCTGTCTTTCATCAGAGTTCTCCAACTACTGAAGGAAGAGTCTTATTGAAGTTCGTACATCAACTTCAATCCTGATGGAA